TGAAAGGTAGCCCGACTACCTCTAGATTGCCTACCTCTATCGTGTTCCTCAAGTCCGTCTATACAAGATAGGTGAGTTTTTGGAACATCCGATACACTTTTGAGCCGGCCAAGGCCAAAAATTGAGGCGCCAACTCGGCCTTTTCACTTTTTGTGCGATTTTTCGAGATTGAGCTCGAATTGATGCTCACTTTTTTGCTTTGAAAATGTTGTGGAGACAAAAAGAAATCGACTGACACCTTGAGTGAGGTCGTCCTCCACGTCAGGACAGGGTTAAATTCAGGAAATTAGCTGAAATCGTAGGTAAAGGTCCAGAAAGGGGTCTACTATCCTCTAGATCCTAAAATTAGGGCCATATTCGGGTTCCTCGTAAAAAATTACTCTTATGACTCATATATTATGACCTCTCTTCCTTCCCTTGTACCTTAAATTTGGGTCGAAAAACGAAACCATCTCCCCTTCGGAAGGATGATGAGATTTTCACCTATTTCAACTCATATGGGTTAAAATGTTACCACCAATAAAAGTTGCGTCTACCAAGTAGTATTTAATGGCATTTGGTCACCCTGATTGACCCTGATTGTAGGGCAAAGGTCGAATTTGATAAACTCAATAGTTTCCTGAATTTCATCCTGTCCTGTCCCACAGACGTGGAAGGCGACCTCACCCGAGGTGTCTGTCGATTTCTTTTTCTTCCCACAACATCTTCAAAGCAAAAAAGTCAGTACCAATTCGAGCTCAATCCTCAATCGAAAGATGCTCATATGCTTAAATAACTGGCAATCGTCCGGATTTACGCACTATTCAATATTTATGTTGTGTATTTCCGTTTGAAATTCTGTGTCTCTTTTCGCATCCATTTTCGCCCTCAAATTTTGAATACTGTCATCCATACGAGAGAACTTAACGAAACGTGGTATTTGAAAGATCCATAAGCCATAATCTATAAAAAGAAGAGAGAAATAATCATACACATCTTTCATATAATTCTGATGAATTGTTATATTCAAAATAACATCTTAAAAATTTTCAGAAAATAACATCTCAAAACATTATATGGAAAAGATTCATTCCATTATCATGACATCATTTTGTGTTCATTCTATTCCATAATCTCAAAACTGGATCGATTATGTGATTTTCTTTACCATTCTTTAGTTTGTTATGACCACATTTAATCGCCTTGTCTTCTTGCCTGAAAAAGAAACAAAAAAGTTCAGTAGTAGATGTGTATACACGGCGTGCACGCTCCTTCTTGGTATAGATTGGTGAGATAGCAGCAGATGCATACAAAAAATAGATGTTCAAAGTAGATAATTTTGTTTGAGACCCAAATCTCAACACCACATCGTCAGACGATGATCGTCTATGAAAAGAAAAATCTTGCAAAGATATGGTTGACGCTGAAGTTCAACATACAATCATCGTACAGATGCACAACTAAAATTGAATATATAGCTTTTTAACATTGTTTTTAATATTATTTGGAAGGAGGGACTGTGATTCAATATTCAAAAAACAAATATGAATGAATATAAACATAAAAGTGTTGCTTAAAGCCTGATTATCGGTCTTCTCATTTATTAAGGACACATTTTTTGTTGATATTTTTGTGTCTGATGACGCGCTTGGAATAAATAATTCAATAATAAGACACGCGTTATGAGCTTTTTTTAGAGCATAGTTGGTCAAATATGCAACCGCTTAAATTCATTTTATTTGATTGCAGTATTTTGGCGTCACCTTTCCGCTTCAAATATTGAGAGTCTTTTGAGAAAAGTCTGAATGGCACCTGTCTAGATTTGCTAAATTGTTTCTATTTTCGGTACATTTTAATTAAAATGCAATTATTATATCGTCGGCACTTTTTTGACTTTATTCTTAACAAATGATATAATCGACTTTTGCTCAACTCAAGACCAGAACCCAAAATCTCAATATATCAGGAAATATGGTTGTCAGAATGCGAAATATATAGGGATCACATTTTGGCACATTTTATTTTTTCTCTTACTCATTTTGGGAAAATCGTTATGCATATACAATACATTACCAAAATTGACAAGGCAAATGACCCAACCGAATCAAATGCAGAGATGTATTTTACTTACATGATCAATTCGATCCGCATCATTTCGCTTTAAATCGACACATATATACACGATTAAAAATCAAATAACCAGGAAGATATGTTTTGTGTTCACAAATGCATAGAAAAAACGGACAACGGTGGCGGGTGTTTGTACATTTTTTCATCAGCGTAAGCAAAATAAGCAACACTGATTTTCTTTTATTTTCAAACAACAAACAAATGACATTTATTGCATTATTGCAACAAACACACCAGGCCATCTCTAATCTACCATATCTAACACACTTTTTTTGTTTCATTTTGAGTTGTTCCTTTTTCTGCGTTCATCTCTCAATGTTGGGCATAATTTTGCATTTTGTATCCATATCGAAAAATGCGTAACGAATGTGTTTTTCTTTTTTTCTGTACATCGTGTGTGTCTGCTTCCTTTTATTTCACATTTGAATGACATTTTTTCTTTAACAAAAGAAACTTTGCCATCATCTTTTAACAATAGCCCAAAGCAGCATAAAAAATTTCAGCAGAAGAAAAAGAAACTATAAGGCATTTTGCATGTTGCGCATAAAATCAATTAGATATGCATATGTGATTGTGTTCTGTCATCTTTGATATTCATTAAATTCAACAAATAAAAGCAGGACTCTGCGGTTCTTATAACCGCTCAAATTGGGTTTTCAACGCACAACTGTCTATATTTGGTGGATATCAATCCACACAAGAATTGATTAGTTTTTGTCCAATTCGTATGCAGGCAGAATTAAGGTATTAAAATCTGCAAGATGGATGAATCGAAACGAAATTCATATTCAATAACAAAAAGAATTGGTAATTTGAGAACAATTTCGGGAAACAACTGTATATGCCTGTGAGACATTCAACAAAAATCAGGTAAGTTATTTTTAAAGAAATATTGTGCATACGACGTTATTTCTTTTGCCAACAAAGTGTTGATGACTCAAATAATGATAAGAATGTTTTGTCCGTTGAATCCTCTTAGGTCATCTTTTCATACAGCTTATTTCTTACCACATTTTTTCAGTTGCATTCTTATTCCTAATCCAAATATATATAATCCAAACTTAATTGGAGAATTCTACATCGTTAACGTAGAGAAAATATATTATTTAAATCAGTTCGTGTCCAGAAAGAGTGACAATTCCCGTTCGAAAAAGTTGTCTGCATTTATAATAGCGAAGAAAATTTCTAAACACCAAACTGAATAATGTGATGTAAAAATGAAAAAAAAAAAATAATAATAAATAATATTTCAACTGTTAAATGAGGAAATGAAAATTACTTCAAACAAAATAAATCAATTATTTATTTATATACGTAAATAACAAAATCAAAAGAGAATTGAAGACTATTAAAAGTATATAAAAATTGAATTTTTTGAACATATTTTCGAAAATAGTTTCTGAAACATGAAAAATTGCAAAATATTAAATCAGGTATTTAACCATATATATCTTGAAGGATATTAAAATTGTGAAAAAAAATTCCAATTTAATTTTTGAAAATGAAGTTTAGATTTTGAAAAATGAACCAGCGTTTTTTAATGAACTAATTTGAACGACATTATGAATATATGAATTTTGTACTGTGTTCAATTGTTGAATGTGCGAATTGTCACTCACTTAACATTCATTTCCTATACTCGCAAAACGAGAATTAAATACTAACGAAAAAAGAGAGTTTATACGCACAACAAATTTAATAATTCAAATACAATGCGAAATCCAAATTCGTTTCGCTGCGTGAAAAATTTTCATTTACCGACCGAAGAAAAACAGAACAACATTTCCGAGAACATAAGTATACATCTTATTGTTCTTTTTTCTGTTCTTGAATAATGCATCGCCTCCTCGGGCTATTTTGTTTATAGTTTTCTGAGATTTCTTTTATTACGTATTTCTTGAATATACTATACAGTGGCAATGTATTGAATGCATGCTGTTTGAAATGTTTGTATGCATATTCATGCACAAGGACACACCGAAATATACACTGTCCATAATCTTATGCACGATGCATAACGATATAGGTTCGATAAGATGAAAAAATGTGAACACGGTAAGTTAAGTGACAAACAAACAAACAAACAAATAAACAAAGAAACACAGAAGCGAATACTATTTTAATACTTATTATCAATGAACCATATTATTTTTTATTGTACTCAGTAATATGTATGCATCGTTTGGAATTTGCAATATGACTTTTAATGATCAAATTTTTTACCAATTTTTTATGCTATATTTCCTATATGTCTTCTCTTGTAGAGATAAAAATTCATAGTCATTTATTTACTTAAATAATTTTGTTCCTTTTTTGTCAAGAGATTTCGTATCGGTTATGAATAAAATTCTGTAAGCGCGATCAAAGTATTTTTTTGACTAAAACTCCAGTATATATGTGCATTTTGAGTTATTAAATATAATTATCTCTGTGTATCTCTTTTTCTTCTTCTTTTGGTCATACATGTTTCACTATTCTTAAGCGGGAGCTGTAGCAAAACAAAAATAATACACTTTTGTCGATGAACATGTGTGTCATGAATGGTGTGCCGAGAGCACATTTCACGTACTGTGAGGAATGTATGTGAGTGTATTTGTGTTCAAAATTAGATGTCGTTGATCGTTTATTCTCTATTTTTTGTCTTTTTTTCTCTGTTTTCATTTCATTCGTTCATTTCTTTTTACGTATTAAAGCGATCGTTGGGTGCATATAAAGCGTGTGTGTATGTGACTGTTCTTATGTTTTCGAAAGCATAAGCGGACGATGTGAAAAAATATATATACATATTCTTCGTGATGCACACAAAAATTTAGTTTACTTCAAACAACAGAGCAAAGCAGACGTTATTTTTAAATTGTCGACAAACAATTTTTTTGGTCAATACGTATATATTTCAAAAAAGAAATATCTCTGACTTGGACCATATTAAAAAAGAAATAACATATATATGATATATGAAATAAACAAGGATAACAAGATGTAAAGATTGTTCAAGTTTTTTTCGAAGTGAATCTTGTTTAAAAAAAATACCGGGACAAGAAATCAATTTAAACATTCAAGCTAAGATAAAAAGACAATAGTGAAATATATTTGAAATATTGAGAATCATGTACCCTTGAATGGAATAGTGTGTTGAACTAAGCGTAAACGACGTAACTCAAATACGTAGAGCAAATAAAAACTTGAAAGTTTTTCTCATTTAAAATATATTTGGATACTACAATCACACCAACACAATGGCTTCATACAGTCAAAATCATACACAAACACATTCGTATGCCCGTTTAGTCCAGTTTATAATTGTATGTATTTACATTTCAAACGTGTTTTTGCAATCAACCAAAAATGAGTGTACATGGCAAACATATGGAAAGTCAATTATGTGTTTTATGCGTACAATAGATAATGCAAGTGCCATTGATTTTAGTGATGTTGATGGTACGGCGACTACACGTACATTATCTATTCACTGCGACAACACAATCATCGATGAAAGTGTTATATCGGCTGGTTTTTTTCATAAACTAGATAATTTGGAGCAAATAATCATCGATGGCTGTAAATTGATGCATCTAATCAATAGTTCATTTACCGGCTTAAGGAATTTACAACGCATCGACATAGAATCACCTAATAATGAATGGAGTGACAACAATAAATTGAAAATAGATAGTGGAATTTTTGTTGATCATCCAAATGTGAATAGCATTAAATTGACGCAGAACAACTTGAGAGAATTTCCATATGAAATTTTGTGCCCGCTAAAGAGTCTGGAAACGTTGAACATATCACATAACCGTATCGATTCGTTTGGTGACTCTGGTTTCAATTTTGATGGTGGATATTGTAATGGAACTCGGAATTCGTTCAACGATTTGGAAATGCTCGACATTAGCTATAACCAGTTGATATCAATTGATTGGTCGGAATCGAATTTTTCACAGCTGAAAGAACTTCGATTGCAACATAATAATTTAACGAACATTATGAGCGGTACTTTTCATGGCATGCATTCGTTAACACATCTCAATCTCAGCTACAACCAACTAGAAACTCTTACCGATGATATGCTAAATGATACAAAAAAATTACAAGAATTACATTTACAGAATAATAAATTGTATCAATTACCATCGGCTCTGTTCCGAGATTTACCCGAATTGATGATATTAGATTTGAGTAGTAACCAATTGTCAAATCACTATATCGACAGTTGGATTTTCAGTGGATCTGAAAATGACGACGAGATGGATTTAATAAGTGAATCTAAAAAAGAGAAAGACATCCGTTTGAAACGTTTGGTTGTGTTAAATTTGGCAAATAACGCATTGACCCGCATCGAATCGTCGCACTTTAGATCACTAAGTTTTCTGCAAATTTTGGATCTCCGTAATAATTCAATTGGTATTATACATGATCGTGCATTTTCTTCATTACACAATCTTCATACACTAAATTTATCTGGAAATCGCATGCACATTATTGGAGCTGGACTTTTTAATAATGGTGGTATACATGTGTTAACTCGTTTAGTTTTGAGCAACAATTTGATTACCTTGATTGATACTCGGGCCTTTCGTAATTGTACCAGCCTAGAAGAGTTAGATTTGAGTTCCAATCAATTAACAGAAGTTCCAGCTGCCGTGCGCGATTTGAAAAATTTGAAAAGTTTGGATTTAGGAGAAAATCGCATCAATGTTTTACGTAATGAATCGTTCGAGAATATGTTACAGCTGACGGGACTTCGTTTGATGGACAATCTTATTTCAAACATCACAAATGGAATTTTTTATCCATTGCGTGGTTTGCATGTTTTAAACCTGGCCAATAACAAAATTCAGAATATTGAGCGTGGTGCATTCGATAAAAATTATAAAATTGAAGCTATCCGGCTGGACAAAAATTTATTAACTGATATTAATGGTATTTTTGCTACGCTCAACTCCTTGCTTTGGCTGAACTTATCTGAAAATCAACTCGTTTGGTTTGACTACGCTTTCATTCCAATGAACCTCAAGTGGTTGGATATTCATAGTAATTTCATCGAAGCACTTGGTAACTACTATCGTCTTCAATCCGAAATAACTATTACTACATTAGATGCTAGTCACAACCGCATCACGGAAATTGGTTCATTATTAGTACCAAATAGCATTGAATTGTTCTTTGTTAACAACAATCTTATCCGCAACGTATATCCGAACACATTCATCGACAAACAAAATTTGACTCGCGTTGATTTGTATTCCAATGGTATCACCAAGTTGCATGTGCACTCACTTCGTATTTCTGCAATGGCCTCAATGAAAAAAAACACCGAATTCTACTTGTCGGGAAATCCATTTGAATGCGATTGCTCAATGGGATGGTTAGCTCACTACCACCACCAACAACAACATCATCCACGCATAATGGACTATGAAAGCATTGAATGTTTGGTAACACACACTCGAAACACACCAGTTCGTCTACTTTCATCGTTATCGGCTGAAGAGTTTTTGTGTCGTTACGAATCGAAATGTCCAGCATCATGTCATTGTTGTGAGCATACAAAATGTTATTGTAATATCAAGTGCCCAGACAATTGTGCATGCTTTGCGGACCAAAGCGGAGCTATTAACAAAATCAATTGTGGCAAACAAAATGCATTGCAGATTCCGGAACGTGTACCCATGGATGCGACCGATTTATTTTTGGACGGGAACAACTTCTTTGAATTGCAATCAAATGTCGTATTCAACAAACTTCGTCATCTACGTTCTTTATATTTGAACAACAGTAATGTTATTTCGATTCAACCGCACGCCTTTAGTGGATTAAATATCAACCTTCAACGCCTTCACTTGGAGGATAATAAATTGACAGCTCTATACGGAAATGAATTTAATGCGCTGTTCTCTCTAAAAGAACTTTATTTACAGAACAACTTGCTTACATACATTGAAAATTCTACGTTCAATTCGTTGAAACATTTACAGGTTTTGCGTTTAGATGGAAATCGATTAACTACTTTAACATCCTATCAAATGCATTCCTTCCATTTGAAAAAATTGAAAATGTTAACACTTTCACGCAATTTATGGAGCTGTAGTTGCTTATTTTTGCAAGAGTTTATTCCATTTATTTCTGCTACTGTTACTGATTCGAATAATATTCAATGTATTGAAGATGTAACTGGACCCGCAATTGAAACCACAATAAATAATGATGAACGACGACGAAACGACGACGAAAACAACAAAAAAGTTGATGACCAACAACGAAATCTACTTGTCGATCGTAGTTTGGCAAACAAATGTAAAAATTCAGTATACAGCCCAATGAACAATGTTTCAATGATCCTGCCACCTGAAGGAATTTTACACGGAATGTTTCCATTCATGGTATTTGCATTTGTTTTGCTATTCATTTTGGCTGTCATTATCGTCATGTTTACAATAAAGGAGCAAAAGTGTCACACTTATTCGTCATCCAACAATACTATATTCGATAAAACCAATGGAAATATAGTCGGCATGGCCAACAAATATGATGCGGTTATTCTTTCGGCCAAAGAAGATTGTGACCATGTAATATTCAATGTTGTCAACCCATTGAAACAGACTAAATCTCAAATTCACATCGGACAACAACACAATAATGTCCCTACTACAAAATTGTTGCCATCTGTATATTCTTCACGCAAGTTAATAATTTATTTGACAAACCAATTCATTCACACAGAATGGTGTCGACCAGAAATTCGTTCAGCTATAGGAAATTCGTTCAGCTATCCGGGAAAGGTAATTCTTATTCAGGCATCAAATTTATCCTTACAATCAAATGCCGATCACGAACTGTTCAAAAATGTTGGTCGTAGCTCAGTTACATCGTGGATAAGTATTGAAGAACCGGAATTTTTATACAAATTGGCATATGCGATTGAAGTACATCCATCTCATTATACGCCGCCCGCAATAGAACAAACATTTCAAACATTAGTTGGCATTCAGCATCCATTTAATGAACATCAAGGTTACTACAGTGTTGGTGGTGGTGGTCCAACACTTACATCGAAAAAATGTATGTTGCCATACAACAATATTCATTACAACGAACCTCAAACACTTGATAAGAATGATTCATATTATTCGAGTGCAACGAATACTTCGATTTTATCGCGTCAGTTCGACAAGCAAACAATTGAACATGTTTACATTGGTATTGATGATTCGGACTATGGAAGCGCAACAAATGAACCAACCATACATCGTTCAATAGCACAACCATTGCGGACGCCAATTGCAAAGGCGGAAAAGCTTCTTAAACAAATCAAAGGAAATAGCTACAATAGCGACGAATGCTTCAGCGAATCGCCAAAACATAATGACAGTGATGAACTGTCAATATAGTTGTCGTTTATTTATTCATATTATGGTTTGGTTTGATTGTAAATGCTCAACTCAATATTTATAGTTTGTTTTAAGTTTCCGCCAAATTCAATTGTCTATCTAAGACTGATTTTTTTTTAAATAATTTCATTTTAAACATAAAACTCAAAATGATTTATGACATTTTTTTGTTAGTTGGTATCTGTGATCTAAAAATAAGTTAGGAACTACAATAAAATAACTAGAACATTTAACTTTTGGTGTTTCTGAATATATATTATAACATATTTAAGCGGAATAACTTGTTCCATTTTCACTGCAATTTTATTTTTTTGGGTCCAAAATCCAATGTAGGTGGAATAAATCAGAGTCACTTACCAAAATAATTTTTTATCCGTATCGTTATATCGTTATAAAAAAATACATCAAAACCCACATAACCCGCAATTGGATGATTTAATCAGAAAAATGTCGTTGGACAAAATTTTAACTGCTCTATTCTTTTTGAATGGCCTTCTTTCTTTTTAGATTCTGTTACTTAGATTATGAACGTCACATTATTATTGGTATGTGCTACTAAAAGCGAATGTTTCTGTGTACGTTGAATTTTGTTGCATCTATCTTTCTTTTTATTTCTTTGCCACAACAATTTATCTTTTTTCTTTCAATTCCATCTTTGCTTTATGTTGTGTTACCTGATCCATTTTGTTTTCCCACATACTCATTTCTCAGGGGATGTGATGCTACCAGTTTAAACTTACTGAACAAAAGGTTTGTAAAATATAAAAGACTGAAAGAGCACTTTGTCGCCATACATTTCAAAATATTTTTAAGTCTGCTTTTTGAAATCCGAGCGCATGAACCGCATTAAAACGATAAATCAGACGTCAGGAGTTTATTTAAAAAAAAAACAACAATTTAGTGCATTTTGCATTTCCCAATTTTTCTGAATCAATACAAAAAGCAATGCAAAAAAAAATGTCGTACGATTGAATTACGTTTTCATTTTCTGTGACGCCAAGTATGTATTCGAGAGATACAGATCAAAGACATATATTATTTCACTCAATATTACTTGTGCAAATGAAAGCCAAACTCTCAGACATAACAACAAACGCGCCCAGATATCAATGTATGTTACACGCATTCAATGAATTTGTTTGGTTTTTGTGGATTCTTTTTGTCCTTTATTCGGTTGACATTTTTCTTTGTATATGCATATGCACATACGACATAGTTCAGATAAAAAAAGGAATGAAAGAAAATAATAATAATGGAAACGAAAATTCACATTTCCTATTGATTGTTTAATGTTTAAGTTGCTATTGATTGCGTGTAATTTGGTTTTCCATTTATTCAATTGTATATGACATTGTTTCGTCGTATGTCTGAGGTATTTTTGGCTATTGTTATATGGACTATGAAAATGAATTAAACAGATACGAAATTAATTGTAAGACTTTCGTATTGAATTTTACATTGCCTGTAAAAATTCTTGAGCAAAGTGGAAGAAAAAAAGAGAAAACAATATAAAACTCGATGATACCAATATTTTATTTTTTTTATAACCATGATTTGTATGAACATTGAACATAAAAAATTAGTATTTAAATTGACTTTTATTATATTTCGGGAGCAGCTTAATAAAATACAACAAACTACGGCAAGCTTTGTTAATTAAGTAGCCGTACTATAATTTTTTTGTCTTTTCTTTAAAATAATGAAATATCTATGAATTCAAAAGATTATTTTTCTCATACCTGAAAAATAGAAAAGTGCATGTTCTTTTTAATACGGATATCCTCATACATTTTCTGGAAATTTTGTTACACGTTCGATCGCACTCGATAACAATAACTACTCAACTTAAAATTAATTTGATGTTAGTTATACACTTTAGAGAAACAGAAACAATTTTTGAATTTCAATTTTGTGGTAAAAACAAATGGCAAACATATATGTAGCTATGTATGATAAAATAATTTTTAAAGTTTTAAACTTTATGCTTTTTCAATTTACTGAATAATTTATTATATTGCTGGTGTTTTATTGTTAATTGATTATTAATTCTCTTTATTTTCTGTGACTGCGAAAACTCATTAAAAAATTTAATAGCTATTTAATTTGAAGGAAAACTAAATAAATCGTCAACAAATCATCAGTTTTATTTCAATTTTTTTAAAAGGTGGAATGCTTCGAAGGTGCGCCTTTTTGGTGCCTAATTTTTTATCATTATAAAGCCACTGTTTGATGGCTGATGCCAACAAAAAATCAGCCCCTTTTTATGTAAGTAACCGATTCATTTCTTTTTTGGTTCGAAAATAAATTTCCGTCATGGATAGTAATGTGTCTATCTCTTGCTACAAAAATAGATAAAAATCATAATAAAGAACCGATCAAACGCAAAACTTGGAGTGGAACCGTTTTTGTGATCGGTCAATGATTTTTTTTGAACTGTTAGTGGACAGAGGAATCGATCTTGTAAATGTACTTTGAATTGTTAAAAGTTCCTTTCTGCTGTTCGAACAAGTTTCATGCGCACAAAGTATGTCTTTTTTATATTTTAGATGCATACAATTTTGTTGTTTTTAGAGATTTCATTCTTTTCAACGAAGTTAGATGTTTAAATTTGTTATTTTAGGTTTATTGCAGCTTGCCGTAATTCAGTTTCAGCAAATGGCATAAAATAAATATATAGTTTCTTGAAAATAAGTAGATCGATTAATTTTTTCCCTTTATTGTCGCCCAACTGGCCCTTTTGTTAGATTTTGAATATTATAAATATAGGCGGACATATATTATACTGCGTACAGATGAGCAAAGAAGAAAGCACAATAATAAACGAAAACCACTAATAGTTTTAATTTGATGTGTCTATTCGAGTGTTCTCTCATTCATTTGCTTCTTGCCTTTCTTGCCTTTCGCAAAGAATGTTGGAACAACCAGAAGCAAAAGAACAGTTGAATGTTTTTTTTATTTTGTCACATTAATATTGCTTTACACGACTGTATTATGGAACCGGTTTTGTAATCAATGTGCTACGTTCGTACGTATGAGCTGCGGCGATTATAATCCTTAAAAACTTTTATTAAGATATTTTCCACCACGGTTGTGTTTTTTTGATTTGTGAATGGGCCAACCATTCAAAAGTTCAATTTTCATACTACAAGCTTTCTTTATGCTGAAAACTGTCTTACTCTTAACTTACTTTTTTTAACTTAACCAACTTAATCTACTAAATAACGTAGCTTATTACAATCGCCAGATCGACTATTGGCCAAATCAAGTCTGCCTAAAAATGTTTTGTTGATAAATTGTCTATATTAAGTAAAACCAAGACAAAATGCATATATATATGAATGGGTAAGAATAATCAGGTAGGAATATCAAAAGCAAGCACTCAAAAAAACTTACTCCTAGCGCCACCAACCTATAAGTTGTGTATTGTGAGAGCCAACTTCAGACAGATTGTATATATGTGACAACTATTTTTTTGAAATTTGTAAAACCGGCAATTAGGTGTTTGTGTTTCAACTATAAACATTAAACATGCGAAAAGTAATTTTGCTTTTTTTTATTAATCATCATTTTACTGTGACTTTTTTTCTTAATTTTTATATTTTTATTTTTTTGATTCATTATTGGTTGTTTTTTGTGCTTTACTTTCATTTTTTCCCTGAAATTTAGAAGTGTGGAATGTGCGAAAAATCGTTCATTCGTTTATAAACTTTGCGAGAACACGTCGAAAATGTTCACCAGCCAATGAAGAAAAAATTCAAATGCCCGAATTGCGACATATTTTGCTCGCACATAATCAGAAGTTGCCGAATCAGCTTTTGCCGAATCAGCTTTTGCCGAATCAGCTTTTGCCGAATCAGCTGTTGCTGAATCAGCTGTTGCTGAATCAGCTGTTGCTGA